GGAAGAGCATCACAAACAACATTGTGCCTACACCTACCTACAGACCGAGCACCCCTAATCTGAAAATCCGAAATGCTCCAAATTTTGAAACTTTTTGAGTGCTGTGACACTCAAAGGAAATGTTCAACTGGTATGTATTCTGCAAATATTCCAAAATCCGAAAAAATCCAAAATCTGAAACGCTTTTGGTCCACACATTTTGGATAAGGGATACTCAAACTGTAATTTCATGCCCAGATTATTAGGGAAGGATACTTTATTATTTAGTGCTAGGATGCCTAAAGCCTTGAGAAAATTAATGGAAACAAATGATACTCAAACTGTAATTTCATGCCCAGATTATTAGGGAAGGATACTTTATTATTTAGTGCTCGGATGCCTAAAGCCTTGAGAAAATTAATGGAAACAGCCTTGTTCTAAGTATCTCCTCCATTCCAAAGTGATTGAGATTTGAGGAGACCATTACTTGATATCAGCATTTGGAAGAAAAAAAGAAAGGCTGGTCAGTTTCTTTGGACATTTATTGTATAGCACACAACAATTTTAGAAATGTTCATTTTTTAAAAAACAGGCATTTAAGAATTAAGAAAGCATAACACTAAGGGGTGTAACTTAGTACCAAACCTGCCCTTTTAATAAATTACTCAAATTTAATTTTAATTCAATGAATAAAATGCACACCCTTTTCTATAGCCAATACGGTGAGAACATTAGAAATCAGAGACTGACATCTTCGTAAAGAGTTTACTGGCCCATTTGAATCATATGATACAAAAATTTACAGAAATACAAAATGATGCTTTATTATTTCATTCATTGTTATTTACAAGAGAAGCTGTTTTCACTGAGAGGAGGAGGGGCTGGAACCAGCATTCAGCAAGGGGCTAGTGGGAACTTTACAGATTATTTCCATTTTGTAGATGTGGAGTTGAGGTGCAGAGAGACTGCCCTGCCGGCGGCCTCACAGCTGAACAAACCCAGGTGTTCGTGCTCTTTCCCCAACCCCAACTGCCTCCACAGGCCACGCCATCTCAGTTAACTCTGCTCTGGACCACCGGCTGGAATCTTAGGGCTTTCCCCTGACCCCAGACACTTCCTCTCTGGTTGACTGTGGCCCAAGGTGGAACAGCTGGTACCAAACTCTAACAAACTTCAACAGGAGACAGAAGAGGGCACACAGGCCCGGCACAGAACATTCCCCACCTCCAGACCCGCTCAAGGACTGCAGGACTTTGGTCCTCCTCCGAAAACTGGGCCGCCCTGGACTGCACCGCTGCTATTGGGGTCCATGGCAAGCACGAGGCTGCAGACATGGCAACCCGCTCCAGGCCTCCACGCATTCAAGCACAAGCACTGCTCAGCCTGAGGGTGGCCACAATGCGGGGCGTGCCCATTTGTCCTCCCAGCCGCACGACAGCCACCAGCAGCAGGCTCATTCAGGACCTCAGTTCAGCCAGTGGGGGAACTGCCAGGGCTGGAGAGGTCTAGCCAGGTCTACCGTGGCACACGATGTCGTTAGGGTCCCCCACCTGACCGATGCTGCTTCCTGGGCCTGTAGCAGCAGTGGCAGCCACTTTAGCTGTCCCCTTCCTCCCCAACGCGCATAGAAACGGGGCAGGCAGGTCATGGTGATGAGCCAGTGACAGCCCCTTCCCCTCAGTGTGTGGACAGGACAGAGGAGGGGTGGTGGGGAAGAGGCAATGCTATTTCTCCTCTTCAGAAGGCTTGGGAAAGGGCCGGCCCGTGGCTCACTTGGGAGAGTGTGGTGCTCACAACACCAAGTCAAGGGCTGGGATCCCCTTACTGGTCATCTTTTTTTTTTTTTTTTTAAAAAAAGAAGACTTGGGAATGTTTTCTCTCAGGTTTCTTTCAAGGGCTAATCTAATTTTCCATGCACCCTGAGAGTCAACGGACAACAAGGAATCCCCTCCATGCTGGAGGCAGCTGAGCTGCTACCCAGCCTTGCCCTTGGCACAGGAAGTCCCCTTTTAAAAAAAGAAGACTTGGGAATGTTTTCTCTCAGGTTTCTTTCAAGGGCTAATCTAATTTCCATGCACCCTGAGAGTCAACGGACAACAAGGAATCCCCTCCACGCTGGAGGCAGCTGAGCTGCTACCCAGCCTTGCCCTTGGCACAGGAAGTCCCCCCCACAGCAGACAGGGCACATCACCATTTGGTTCTGTCTCATACTTCCAGCAACAAGGACGTCTCCATTTTCAACAGTTGTTCTCACTGTTAAAAATGTCTTGAGTCAAAAATTCCATCCTTGCTTGAAATGTCCACCCGTCCTCAGGGGCAGCACAGCATCAGCCTGCATTCTCTCTCTTCCACACGACAGCTCTTCAAACAGCGCAATAGTTTCTTTTCAAAATCAAACAACTCCAGCCTCCCACCCACGTCTCTGCCCACAAGTCTGTTGAATTATACCGGGTGCTTCCAACCTTGGAATACTCTCCAGCTTGCAGACACTGTTCCTGAGATGCCCAGATCCAGAAGCGAACACCAACCCAGATATAGCCCGCGACTCAGGGCACGTGGCTGTTACAGCGACCTCCAGAGGCGACGTAAAGAGCCAGGCATGGTTCTGTAGCACGTGTTTAATGGCGACATCACATCCTCAGTTCTCAATCTCTTAGTTGAGATGGTTGTCAACTAAAGTCCCAATGATTCCTTCTTTAAAACTGCTATCAACCCATGTCGCCCCATTCTGCACTTGAGCAGTGAATGGACATCTTTTCACTCTTCAGACTGGCAAGGGTG